TCAGGCACTTTAGGGTTTATGGAGGCTTATGGCGATCCCATGTGTCCCCTTCCAATTCAACAGTAGATTGACTTGCTACACCGTGCCCACAAAGCACTTCTAATTCTGCTCTTGGCAATAGTTCAGAAGTTTCTTCCTCTTTGATTTACATTCTGGCTCTGTCCAGAGTGGACGCAACTAGTGGTGGCAGTTCTAGAACATCACACAGTAAATCATATGCTGAATGCTCGAACTGCCAAGACCTTCTTCAATGACATTGCCGAACCTTTTCTCCTGTCCTGAAATGCCACCTATCTACCCCATTCTGACAGGGAAATACCCAGTTGCAAAGGTGTTTTCTTAGATTTGCCACTGCACAAAACATAGCTGAATGTGTTAAGTTTTTTGAAGTTTGTTGGACATTCTAGCAGGTAGTACAGGTGATGAGTTTATTTAATCCAAAAAGCACCCTAAGGAAGGATGTTTAAGGGTTCTGTGCTAGTTCAAATGAGTCATGCAGATCCTGAGTCTTGCTAGAAGCCTACTTTGTTGAAAACAGATAAAGAAAGACAGATTTTCCCAGACCTGAGCAAGGTGACTTTTATAATCAATTTTATAAATAAATTTATAATTTAAATTTTATAATCAATCCAGGTTTTTACTGGGCCACTTGAACTCAAATGCTTCCAACTTAAACGTAGAACATTTTATAGCCAGTTAAGCAAAACATGCCTAGATTAGAATTAACAAAGTGGAATAATAAAAATGTACAGCCTAACTCTATATATAATGGATTTAGAGCTCCCATTGAAACTGATGTGCTTAGGCATGCTAAACTTGCATGGGATCAATCTGCAAAATTCAACCTTAAAACATAGAGGTAGGATTCTTCTTAGGGAGTAATAAATGCAGCAAGATGCAGAAACGAAAATCACAAAGGAGTTCTCTTTCATATTCCCTCTGCTAGAAAAAAGAGTGGGCACACATCCTGAATATAATTTAGAATAATTGCTACCCCTTTCTCTTGACTCATAAGCTAATAATCTGTTTCACATACAAACATGTACAGAAAAATAAGAAACATTTTTCTTTGTGAACCAAGTACATCAGTCTTCATCACCACTTGAGCCATCTGGCCAATGTGGATAAAAGGACAGCTAAAGGGTGTTATGTGCTATCTAACTCTGCCCAGGTGATCTGCATTGAAACAGAGAGACCTATCTCTGTTTCTAGAGATAGGGGGAAAAAAAACTTACTGACTCTCCTGGGATATCTGCAACTGATATTATGGCTCATGGGCAGGCAGTTTAGGAGAGCAGCCAAAAGACTGTTGTGTAACAGCAAATGTGTTTGTGTAATCTCTTGTCCACAATGCTGGGAATCTGCACTCACACCTCCATTTTATGGCATGCTGGACCCACTCCAGCAGGCTAGCAGCTTAGGCTAGCCACCAAGATACCATTCAGCTGCTGGGACAACTCAACAGGTCATCCAGGTCCTCTTCACCCTGCCCAACACCAAATAAACATTGAATTTTGTCAAGGATCCTTCCTCAGAGTGGAAACAGGAGACGGTTGACCCCTGTTGGTGGGAATGAATGCAAAGGCAACAGATTGGAAAGGATCAGAGAAGACCATTTAGTCAAATCTTCCTGTCTAAAGTCAGCACCTTCTATCCTTCATACCATAAGAGGCCCCAACTAAATGTCTCACAGAAGGGCAAAGAGCTTGAAATAACATAAATAACATAAACAAAGCTATTTGTTGCAACTGAAAGTTAACTATGTGTGCATGATACCTTGTTACTGTTACTGTACTAATAGGTACAAGGGTTCTAGATACTCTGTGTATGCGCATGTGTGTGCATGTGCGTGTTATACACTACTTCGTCCACAGATAAAGCTTCATTCCTTGCACTCAGCATTCCCAGCTGATACACTTCTCTCTTAGCTCAATTGTTCATCTATTTAGTTGTCAAAGATTTAAAGATTTCTGACTAGTCATCTAATAAGAACAATCTTCTATTCTCAACAAGTAAGATATAGGCTAGACTCGCAACACATCCTCCATGCAATTCCTTTTGAAAAGATACACCCAATCCACAATATGGCAACAAGGGTTGGCTGCATGAAGCACATTACTGCATTGTTGTGCTGACTGGCTTCTTGTTGGTTTCCCAAACCAGTGGGGGCCAAGCTCCCATATGAACCTACCTGCTCACGCAAGGAATTGTGCTTTGCACCTTCCTTGCTAACTTCTCTAGCTAGCGATACAAGATTGATCTTTCTCAGTGATACCATCTAAACTCCACGGGATTCTTGTCTGAGCATTTGAGAGACAATAGGTAATTAGCTGCTCCTATACCTTCACAGGTTCATATATACTGATATATGCTGCTATTGGTTTTTCCTATATTGCAGTTTCATTGCATTTTAGATTATGTTATTACACTAACATGTGGGTCCTGATAGAGGGAAAACTGATGAATGCAGCTCCTACATAAACAGAGAAATAAATTACAGTGAAAAACATTTGCATACTACCAAAAGCTCAGTAACTGGTGACTTTTGGAGATACAGAATGAAGTAGCAGAGTACTGATATAGTACATAAAGAATGGAACAGCAACATATTTATTGGAAAAACCTCATTTAGGAGGCAAAAAGCTTGAGTTGCAACTATTTCCCTAGCATGTGAACATAAAATATGGTCATTCCCAACACAGAAAGCTAAACTGATTCTAATTATAACCCTGTACGACCAAGAAACAGATTTTTACTAGGTTTGGAAAACATGATAAACTACCCTTGCAAGAGGTGAGGCTGGGTTGTCACTGAATCAGTTGTTGCTGAAATGTGGGTTATCATGTTGTCCAAGCCCAGCTAACACACTGTGGTGAATGCACAGTTCACAACCCAACAATAAACCATGTGTTCTTTTACCAAGTTGTTTCTGGTTGATGGGCTAAGACATCTTCGCACAGCTAGGCTCAAACAATACAATGACCCACATTTCAAGAACAATTCACAGTCAGGCTTTGAATACAGTTTATCGTTATGTCTGTCTGTAACATAATTGGAACCCCACAACACAGACTCCATTGTCCATGTGACACTCTCAGACCTTTATAATGATGCAAGAAACTGTGATTACATCTTACCTCATTGTTCATTGCAAACGGCAAGAGAGGAACTGTTCTGACTATCTTCTAGTTCTTCTGGTAGAATTAATGAATAAGATTTAATGCTGCCTCAGCTGGATAAAAGATATCTATGTAACCAATTACTTTGTGAGAAAGTTCTCTCATTTCTTCACTGGACAGGTTGCATCTGCAGTATTGTGCCCAGTGTCAAATACTGTCATTTTTAAATTACACCAAGACACCAGAGCATTCTGGGTAGGGTGCCTCAGATAGGGAGGGGTCTGGAAAACAAATCCTGTGAGGAACAGTTGGAAGAGATGGGCACATTCAGATTCAGGGAAAACATGATAGCAATCTTGTGTCTTAAGTACAATTCAGAGCAGCTTACAACATTCAAAAGTGATAATACAGTATAAAAGCCATATGTTGAATAATTATTTTATTGTTAAAATTTACATACTGCCTTATTAGCTAAAAAGCTATCAAGAGCATGTACAACAATTGAAAACAAAATGTTAACATAAGAACACTGGAAACAGTAAAGCCATTTAAATACTGAAACTACACTTTCCATAAATTGAAAAGATGCATCTTTATACCCTTTCTCAAGACCAAAAGAGGGGAGGAGGCAATCATAGTTCTTGAGAAAACACATCCCACAGTTTGAGGGCACAGATGAAAGTCCTAGAAGTAAACCTGTCTTCGGTCATTTCAGAGGGCAGGAACAGGCAGCAATTTTAAGGGAACAGATTCTAGCTAAATTCTAGAATAAATTTCTTATTAGCAAGAACAGCGTGAGCTCTTCATCACTGGAGATACATATTCAGAGTTTGGATGGCTACCTGCCATGGATGCCGTCACTGTAAGATTTGTTAATTTAGCATGGAGTTGGACTAGATGATTCTCATGGACACTTCTCTCACTTTCATCTTTTAATATGGAGTTGGAGGATATGTCTCTTTTCTTTTGGGATATGTACACATGGTGTTGCTGCAGTGCAGCTATTTCCTAGAAAGCTCTCATAACAACTTTTTAACTTTCAACAGCTGCAGATTTAATATGCTCTTACCTTTTCACATTTGGATAGGTGTAATAATTCTGGAAAGATTTCATAGTTGAATACATTTTATTTGACTGTTTTTTTTAATATTTTGATATACTTGTTGAAAGAATACACTCTGGCTCCTTTTTTAAGAGTGACATAAATTCTATCCATTTCTGCTCCTCTTATTACTCAGTTGTCTATGGAAAAATAACCAACTGGTGAAGTAAACCATGCAATAATACCTAACATATAATTAGCTTTGCAAACATTAATTCTAAAATAATACTTTGGAAAGAAGCACTGAAATAAACTATTTAACGATTTTCACTACATACGGGCACTACGTTATTCAAGTTTGGACAGAAAAGAGGCCTACATTGTTGGCTGGGGCATGCTGAGTTTAAGCATTTTATATCTACACAAACGTAGACAGGGCCGTGCCTTAAATGGAATAGGGCAAGGCCTGTGCTAAATATTCTTATTCTGGGAACTAAAACGAATGCAATGATTCTAGTGGGGTCTGCCTTCCATTTTCACTACGGCACATCGCACTCCTTGTTGTAATGTCCCAGGGTTTCAAAGCTGTCATAACATGATGGTAACCGGTCTCACTTTCCTTACTCCTAACACTCCTCCTTATTCTTACATTTCCCATAGCTGCACGAACGACGATACGCAGCAGTCACGGCGGCAGGAAAGATTCCTTTCCCTTATTTTTGTCCAATTCGGGTTTTACCCGGACTTCTTCGTGGTCACGTGATCCACGGCAAAGATGGCGGCGACCAGGATACAAACTACAATTCCCAAGGAGCGCTGGGTGGCCAATGGTAGAGGCGCAGGGAGGTGAGGCCGCTTGCCATCGCGGGCTGTTAGTGTGAGCGAGGTAAAGGTTGGGTGTCTCGTGCCGCCGGCCGTTGGGAGGGTAAAGCGGGGGCCCCTCCCCCCACAGCTCCGCGGTACCCCTCCCAGCAACCTTCCATTGCAGCGAAACGCGCGGGGAGGAAAAAAAAGCCTCAGGTGAGGAAAGAACAGAAATAGAAGGAATGAGGGGGGAAGGGGGATCAGACGCCGCGAGGCCGAACGACAACCAAGGGGGAGGGGCGGTCAACTTCGGTTCCTTAAAGGGGCATGTCCTTACTTAAAGGGGCAAGCCACTTTTTTAAACCCTCCGATAGAATATTCCTGGATCCCGGTGGGTGCAGAAACAGCAAAGTTTTGTTTTGTTTAAAATTAAATGCACAGTGGATGCTCCTCAAGAAATTTTGGCTTCACACTACTGAAGAAGATAAGGGGAAGGCTATAAATTTTGCGCATGTTCAGAGGATCTCTTGTGTGACAGAGTTAAAAGACAATCAGGGCTAAGATCTGTTAGGACCAGGCGTAAATTGAGCTCTATATATTTTAAATCTTACGCCAGAACGTAAGAATTACTAGAAGATTAGAAAACAATTCAGTTCTTTCGGGACATCTTAAAAATTTGACAGGTGATGGGTGGGTGGGAAGAGGATCTGATTCAGAGAAAAAGCAGTCTTTCTGTTTCCATTGTGTTCCAGTCTTTAAACTGCATACTTTGGCCTGTTAGGGTGCAATTTTATGCATTGCTGGCTGGGATGAGCATGGAGATTTCGGCCTTTTTCTGTCTAAACATGCTTAGGATTGCACACCTGAAATGTTTTATGGTTCTCAGAGTGACAAATACCAGAAATTACAGCCTTTGCTTGCGATCTTGTAATTTAAGGGATGCAGTACAAAAGGTGATTGGGAAGGAAAGGAAAACAGCAAATGTGCACAGTAGTTTTGTTGTAAAGTTCAGCAGATCAGAAAGATGGAACTAAAAACAAAGGGAGGAGTGCTACTTCTCCTTACTCTGCTGGCTTCAGCAGTGGCAGGCAGAAGACAGTTCTCAACCTGAGGTGAATCCTAGCATGATAACAGGGTGTCTGCCTGCTGCTGCTGCTGCTGCAAGCATCTCTTCTCACTCTGTTTAGAATTAACTGAGAAAAGGATAGCCCTCCCTTGGTGACCAAGGGAGGATTGAGATCAGATCTAAATCCTACTACTCGGCCGAAGGAATGCAACTGGGAAGTAACATGCTTCTCCTTACTTGCCCAAGTTCTGCTTGTAATGTGGGAGAACCAGTAGGGTGGGGTGCTGAGAGTGTTGGACTATGGACCTGAGGGATCAGGTTCTAGTCCCCACTCACCTATGAAGCTCACCTGGTGACTTTGGGCCAGTCTACTCCTGCAGCCCAAACTACCTCATAGGGTTGTTACAAAAATAAAGGAGAACTATATAAGCCACCTTAGGTTCCTCAAAAGGAGAAAAAAGGGTGTGATTTAAGTGCAAGATGATGGTGATGATGACATAAGAACTTAAGAAGAGCCTTTCTTGATTAGCCCACAGGCCTATCTGGTTCAGTATTTGTTTGCCCAGTGGCCAACCAGCTGCCTCTGGGAAACCTATAAGTAGGACGTTAAGTGTCATAGTACCCTCCTGCTCATATTCTCCAGCAACTTGTGTATGTTGATAGACACACTGCTTCCAAGACTGTAGGTTCTATGTACTCATCATGATGAGTAACTTTTATTTTGTGTTATTTTTCTAAAAATTTTCTAAAAATAATACAAAATAGAATAATAAAAAGAAAAAAGACAGAAAGAAAACAAAAGAGAAAGTACATGGGGGAGATTCTGAACTCATTTGAGTTAACCTTATTTCACCTTCTTATTAATACCAGAGCAATAAATGGAATATTTATTCTCACCTATCAATTTGAGAGGCAAAAATACTTTTCAGAATTCAATTTATTACCTTCCTGACAAGATAAGGAAAGGAGCGGCATCAAGCTGCTGCCAATCAAGTCGCCATTCCCCCGGAAGTCCCATGATTAGTAGCTTTTGATAGCCTTATAATCCATGAATTTGTTTAATCCTATTTTAAAGAAAACCTTCAAGGTGGCTGACAGCAAGTAAATAATAGTGGGAAATGGCCATTCCCAAGTGTTAGATCATGGGAAGGAAATTTCTGGTCCTTGGGCGTAAGGGGATTTTGCAGGAATCCCGGAGAGCCTTCTTGAATTCCTCCTTGGCTGGACTTGGCCCCCAAGCCCCACCCCTGAAGGAATCGCTGCTGCTATCTCCATTATGAAATTGAAGATAACTGGCAACATGGGTAGTGAGGGACTCACAGATGCTGTGAGGAGCAGCTGCTTTTCTTAATACTGGCTGAGTTTGTTTGCACGGTGTTCATGGTTCTTTTTGGGACAATGTGCATCTGAGAACTCAGCTGGCTCTGAGAGGAGTGGCCATTTAACCCAGTAGAAGTCAAATAGTTTTCTCCATGCCCTTTCCATGTTTAGCACGCACAAGGGCAAAATGGGTGGGATAGGTCTTGCATGCATGACAAAAAATCTCCATAGAGATAGATTTTATTTTATTTTGCGTCTACTTGAAGGCCTATTCTTCAGTGTCACAGTGCAAACATTCCATTACAAGTCACAAAGTAACATGTTGTCCTGGACATGCATAATAATCAGTGAGAATCACTAAATCATGTATTGTTTTCTTTAAACCAGCAGAATATGTGGTTGAAATGTTTCTCTCATTTCGTGAGAAACATCAGTGGTGTGATAAACTGAGACTCTTTTGTTAAGAGGCAGTTCTTGGAATTTGTGAATGCTAGTTCACTCAACTGAATTTCTGCATCAATGGGAATAGGGTAAAGTCACTGGCTGGGTTCAGACCACATGACAAACTATCCCGTCTAGTTACCATAGTTCAGTTTTTTATCATGATGTACCTGGCAGATGATCAAGTGGTTTCTACTTGATTGTGGCTTCCATCCTTCCTGCTCAGTCCTCTCATGCTTGGCATGCATTCCATCAGCCAATGCACCTGAAATTTAATCCCAAGATGCATCATTCCCTTCTTGTTGTCTGCCTTAACTTCACTGATTCACACATAGAGGCTAGATGGCTGAAATGGCTCCTGCAGTTGCCTCTCTTTTCAGAAGACTGATAGCTGCATACCATGACTAGGGAAATCAGGATCCTGGGTTCAAACAACACAAGACACTGTGGTAGAAAAAAGTTGTACAACAAACCATGTTTCTTACCATGGTTTCTAAAGACCAAATATACCATGGTAAAATACCATGTTTGGGGGTTCAGACCAATAGTGGACAAAACCACCATGGCTTGTTGTATTATCTAACCACAGCCACCATGTATAGATTTTAACACATAAGAAATACACGGATTAGGACCTGTGTGCAGCTGAGGTTCGTGATGGTTGTAACCAGCAGATGCATGCATACTCTTTCTCTCTGCTTTCATCAGGTACAACCCAGTGCAATGGTGGGAGCCCAGCAGCTAGAGATGCAGGCGGCGGCAGTGCCAGCAGTGGCTGCTGCAGGTGGAGGACCTGGTGGCAGCAGTGGCGATCACCAGTATGAATGTCTGGAATGTGGGAAGGTGTTCAAGTGGTCATCGCGGCTCATCCACCACCAGCGGACTCACACAGGCGAACGTCCTTACAAGTGCTCAGAGTGTCCCAAGGCCTTCAAAGGGTCATCAGCCTTGCTATATCATCAGCGTGGACACACGGGTGAGCGCCCTTACAAGTGCAGCGAGTGCGGCAAAGCCTTCAAGCGGTCATCCTTGCTTCAGATCCACCAAAGCGTGCATACTGGCCTGCGTGCCTTCAAGTGTGCTCAATGCGGCCTGGCCTTCAAGTGGTCTTCTCATTACCAGTATCACCTGCGCCAGCACACAGGTGAACGCCCCTACCCCTGCCCAGCATGTGACAAGGCCTTCAAGAATTCTTCTAGCCTCCGGCGGCACCGCCATACCCATACAGGCGAGCGTCCTTATGTCTGCCCCATCTGCGGCAAGGCCTTCACACAGTCCACCAACTTGCGGCAGCACCAGCGGGTGCACACTGGGGAGAGGCCCTATCGCTGCCAGGACTGTGGCAAGGCCTTCACCCACTCATCTAACTTGGCGCTTCACTGCCGATCAGCACACGCTGCCCGCCCTGCACACACCTGTGTTATTTGTGGCAAAGCCTTTGCGTCAGATACATATCTGCAGCGGCACCTGGAGACTCATGCTGATGTCGCCCCTCCAGCACAGCTCTTCCTCGAGGAACCAACCACCACTGTAGAGATGCTGTTTCGGTGTAGCATCTGTCAACTTACTTTCCCCCTGGAGGAGCAGCTGCTGAGCCACCAGGAAACACACTTGGCTCCAGCAGAGCCATTGCCTCCGCCACCTCCACTGCCACCGCCGCCGCCACCGCCAGTGCAGGAGACGGTGTCATCAGTAGCATCCCCAACACCCTCACTAGCTTGCTCAGTGTGTGCTAAGACTTTCAAGAGTGCGGCAGGTTTAGCACGGCACCAGCAGAGCCAGCACTCATCAGATCGCACGTATACCTGTATGGTCTGTGAGCGCTCTTTCCCAGCACTGGCCAGCCTCTTGGGTCACCAGCGCTCACATCCCCCAGCTGAACAGCGGCTAGAGGAAGCTGAGGTGACCTGTCCAGCACAGGCTGAGCCAGTGCCCACAGCCACAGTGACGCCACCTCCACCCCCTGAGCGCCCCTATGTGTGTGGAGAATGCGGAAAGGCGTTCAAGGGCTCATCTGGGCTGCGCTACCATCTTCGTGACCACACCGGCGAGCGCCCCTATGGTTGCAATGAGTGCGGGAAGGCCTTCAAACGCTCATCCCTGCTGCGCATCCACCAGCGGGTTCACACAGGGCTGCGGGCCTTCACATGCCCCACCTGTGGGATGGCATTCAAGTGGGCCTCTCATTACCAGTATCATTTACGGCAGCATACTGGTGAACGTCCATATGCCTGCCAGGATTGTGGGAAAGCCTTCAAGAACACCTCGTGCCTTCGCCGGCACCAGCAGCTGCACACTGGCGAACGCCCTTTTACCTGCCAAACATGTGGCAAGTCCTTCACTCAGACATCAAACCTCCGGCAGCATCAGAGGGTGCATACCGGTGAAAGGCCCTATTGTTGCCGGGACTGTGGCAAGTCCTTCACTCACTCATCCAACCTAGCACTGCACAGGCGCACGCATTCACGGGAACGCCCCTTCCAGTGCCCCATTTGCTCTAAGGCCTTTGTCATGGCTTCTTACCTGCAGCGTCACTTGCGTACCCACAGCACAACTGAAGCAGCCAGCCGCCCAGCTGCTCCCTCACCTGCTGCCACCCAGGAGGTGCAAATCGTGCCCAATGTGCAGGCCACTCTGAATGTGGAGTTAAGCGGCAGCCCAGCCCCAGCTGTTTCATCCAACACTCAGACATTTTTGCTAGTGCAGACAGCACAAGGCTTGCAACTTATCCCCAGCATACAACAACAGCCGCCGCCGCCACCTCCTCCTCAGAGTTCACCTCCCAAGCTCATCCTCTTGCCCAGTCCACAGGTGGTATCTACCACACCTGCTGCTGCTCCAACCAGTTTTACCCTGTTGCCAAGTGTTTCTACCACCCCAAGCAAGTCTGTCCCAGTTCGTCAAGGTAAGGGAAAGAAGTCTGCACCGCCACTTCCGCCCATCCCACCAGTGCCTGCTAGCCAGAATATCATCCTAATGCCCAGTGCCACTGGGCCCAGCATTCAGCCCCTCCAAAATGTGCAAATCCAGAGGACAGCAGGGCTGCAGACTGGTGGGCAGAATGTGATTGTCCTCCAGAGTGTGCCAGAACAGCAAGGAGGCACAGTACAGATTCAAACTGTGCCAGCCGCTCCATCAGCAGGCACCATCCAGATTCAGAGCCTGCCCCAGCAGCTCCAAAACCTTCCTGCTGCCCAGCAAGGTGGTACTCTCCAAATCCAGGCCCTGCCGCATTCTCAACAGCAAACTGGCACAATCCAGATCCAAGCCTTGCCACAGTCTCAACAGGCTGGGGTTGTGCAGATCCAAAGCCTACCCCTATCCCAAAGCACTGTCCAAATCCAAAGTATGGCCTCCTCCCAGCCAGCAGGAGGGGTGCAAATCCAGAACCTTCCCAATTGCACTGCAACTGGCACCATGCAATTCCAAACTCTTCAACCCTCCCAAAAGTTGAACACTGTACAATTCCAGGCTATGCCATCCACCCAGCAGGTGGGGACCTTGCAACTCCAACCCCTACAGCCTTCCCAGCGAGTAGTGCCCGTTCAGATCCAGACTTTGCCACCCCCGCAGCAGGCTAGCCCCCTGCAGATCCAGAATCTGTCTTCTTCAAACCAGTCTGTGACCAGCGTTGAAATCCAGGGTCTCTCGCCTTCCCAACAGCTAGATGGCACCATTCAGATCCAGGGCCTGGTGTCTTCCCAAGAAGGGCAGCCACTCCAGCCTTCAGAAGAGATGACCAGTGTCCAGCTTCAGACTCTGGGCCCACCTCAGGATATAAATGAGATGGAGGCTGCTCTGTCTAGCTCCCATGAACTCTCTGAGGTGGACCTGCAACAGGGACCCAGCTTGGAGGAAGAAAGCCAGAACCTAATTGTGGTGCAAAATTCTCCAGGGGAGGAGCTTCTGGGACCAGGGGGTGAGGTGGAAAGCCTTGAGGGAGTGCAGGACATGCACTTTGAGACTCTGCAAACTGAGGAAGGAGTTCAGAATGTGTTGGTGCTGAGGGGTGCAGGAGGGGAGCAGACCCGGTTGTGTGTGCAAGAGGTGGAGAACATCCAGACAGTGCAGGAGTTGCCTGGCCTTCAGCTGCAGAGTCCTGAGGCTAGCCCAGGGGCTGGGCAGAACCTCTTGATAATCCGCAGTGCCCAGGGAGAACAGACTCTCCAAGTGTTGGAGAGCATGCCAACGTTGCAGGTGAGCAGCTCAGATAGCACTCAACCTGCCGTTGACAGCAGCAACACCTCCCAAATGGTGCAGCTTTTGCAAAGCCCAGTTACATCCCAAGGCCTGCCCTCCATTCAGATTGTGCAAACAGTACCCAACATGCAGCTTGTTCACACTTTCTGAAAGCAGCTGTCCCCAAACACTCAGCCAAGGCTCAGTCATGCTCTTAGAAGTGAATGAGATGGGGTCCTACCTGGTGGCTGCTATAATTAAAACTTGCCAGTCAGGGTTGATTCCTGTCTTGGTAACTACAAGACTTGTGAAAGGGGTTCCCTCTCAGCTTGGATTCCTCAGGACAAATTCTTTAATGGTGCAACAGCATGGAACTTGGTTCAAGCCCATGCCTGGAAGTCCAAAGCACGCCCTTGGCATTCCCTCTTCCTGCTCGCATATGGGCTGCTGCTGCCACCGGCCCTGCAGCCAGTGACCACTTCACCAATCCCACCATTACCATGCAACTGTATGCCCTGTATTGCATGAAAGAAAGGAATAGCCAGTCTACTCTTTTGTCCCAGATCCATCCCTGTCTTTTATTCCACTATGCTTGAAATACTGTTTTGGCAAGAACCAAATGTCTGTACTATTTGATGGTTAAAATATGGTTAAAAGAGGCATGGTAGCCAGGGCTTCTGTCTTTCCTCACCACTTAGACAGGGAATGTGATTAGTGGGTTAGCAAATGGATGTCTGGCTTCTCTCCATTTCCCCTCCATGCTATGACAGTTCATTGGGAGAAGCATACACACCTTTTGTGTAATAGAAAATGGGGGAAGTTCAGTTTTGGGGGTCTTCCGTTGGTTCTGGATGCTGCAAGAGGTAGCCTTATGAGGTGCCACAGACTGCATCTCCCAGCCACAGTGTAGTTTCCAGTTTAAGACCTCCTGGTCTCCATTCCACCCTTTCCTTCACAATGTGCACAAACACCTTTCTGAGTGGACCCCAGTTTCTGGTGCTAACAAACACAAGAGGGTCACATACTCTTCTGGCCTAGAAGGAAAATAAAAGACTGCTTTGAAGCACATTTGCTTGCTTGCTTGCTTTCAGTCCTGTTCTTACATGTATCCCTTATACGCTGGGTTTACATCTCCAGACTGAGGCCTGTGTAGTATCCAGGTACCATATTTTGTTGATGGGTTTTAGTCAAACTAGAATTTTAATAGCAGGCTGGCCAATCTACAAAGGGAGTTACATAGGAAGCTGCCTTATATCAATTCACACTATTGATCCATCTAGCGTAGTACTTTCTGCAATGATTAGCAGTGCATTTTCAGGGAGTCAAACAAAATCTTTCCCTTCCCTACCAGAAAATGCTAAGTATTGGAGCTAGGAACTCTTGCATGCAAAGCATGTACTTGAGCACTAGGTTACAGCTATATGAGACAGAAGCAAAATGGTATCTTAGAGGATAGACTTGCTGTTATCTTTGCACACTGGGACAGATAATTATTTTAATTGCAATTTATTGGTAAATTATACTGGTTATTAAGAAAGCCCTTATTGATCTACTGCAAATCACTCAGAGATCTCTTCCAATTGAAAATAATATAGAAGGCATGCTGGATGAGATCATTTGTCCTTTTAGTTCAGCTTTCTGTGCACAGAACCAGCCAGGCCACAGGATCCCATAAGCCGTATATAAGTGCAATTGCACCTCCCTGCCGAAGTTCTTCAGCAACTGGTATACACAGACATACTGCCTCTGCTACTAGAGCTGGCATACAGCCAGCAGGACTAGCAGCCTGATCTGTCCTGAATCTCCTACCAGTCAGTTTCATTACATGACCCTTAGTTCTAATGTCATGGGAGAGAGAGAAAAAATATCCCTATCCACTTTCTACACAATCTGCATAATTTTGTAGACCTTTATCATATTCCCTTGACCCTTTACCTATGCTAAATGATGTCAGTTCTTGTAGCTCTTCTTCATAGGGGAGTTATTCATTTTAGGTGCCCTTTGGAACATCATTCTGCCTGTGCAAGCAAGCACAAGGAAAATGGCAGGAAAATGGCACAAGGAAGTCCCTAGCTTGGAAAATACTGAAGAAAATGGTGGGATGGGGTAATAAGGAACTGCTGGCTGCTTTTTTCTTATTACAGAACATTTTTTCAATAACAGAGTTCATGTTTTTAGGTTGCCACACTCATGTGCAGAGAAAGTTCCTTCTCTCCGGGAATTTTCAAATCTTTTAGCTTGGCCTAGGGTTCAACCAAGTTTCTTGGATGGCTCTTGGTTTCCTGGCCTGTTGCAGAGGCTACAGTGTACCTGTTAGCAGGACTGCAATCTCCAATTAGTTGAAACAGAAGTTTCTTTCTGGCAGGAAACAGGGATGCAAACTCCCTGCAGCTACGCCTATCTGAACAGATGTGGCCAGACTGGTCTCTTCCAACTTCATATTTTCATGGCAAAATTCATGATAGGCTTTCAAAAAACATATGAGAAAACATCTGCCCTAAATGATTGAAATTATGTGTATAAAATTATTACATTGCATTTATATTCTGCTTTTTCCCTTCTTGTGAGGAACCTAAAGCATTTTACATAGCTCCATTTTATTCTTACAACAATATCCCTGGGTTGGGTTGAGTCTGTGACTATCTCAAAGTCACCCAATGAACTTCATGACCAAGTGGAGAATAGATCCTGGCTCTCCTAGGGCCCCAACACTACCACCACACCAGCTCTCTAAAATTGCAGCAAAATACCAAGATACACTTAAATTTGGCTGAGAGGTAGTGTGTCCTCTTTTCTAGCCGATCCACCTAAAGCAAGTAAAACAGTGACACTGGATGGAAGTGCCATTCTATGCACATTTAGACAGAGAAAAGTCCTTCAGCTCTCAGTATCATTCAGCAGGCATGGCTGGCTGAGTAATGCTAGGAATTGCAGGACTTCTTTCGGACTTAACATGAGTGAGATTGCACCCTTACACTTCCAAAAGACAATAACCTGCATTATGTATCAAAACAGACAAAGGATCCAAACTTGTCAAGTCTTGCGAAATAGTGACTACCAACAGCTCTTCAGCATTTCAGGCAACAATTTTCTGATCTACCTAGAGATGTCAGGGAACAAACCTGAGACCTCAATGCAAAACAAGCACTGTGCCACAGAGCTACAGCTTTTCTCATGTGAATCACTGGAGAAGCAATGTCCATAGATAAATGGCAGCTATCAACAGCAATTCTCCATAGGTTGGTATGGATGGCATATGCATCTGATGTCCCAAAAACCTTTCTTATGATGTGCCTCCTTTGTAAACTGAAGCCTTATACAGCAAGCTTCTCTAAGTAAGGCCAGGAGCAAGGACATGCAGTTCTAGTTCTAGGCCCCTTTGCAGGTTTTGAGTTTTTCCAGAACTGATTGGCATATGCAGTGAAGAGTTGCTAAACAAAAACAAGTCTGCATTGAATATCACACATTCTGTTCTTTCTGCTAATGTAAAATGTGTATGGTCTATCTGTAGCTGCTCGATGACATGGCACAACTTCAGCAATACTTCTGTCTTTATTATGACCTCACATGTTCCAGTGCTGAGTCCAAACATTGGAATAGGAGAAAAAAAAAGTTTTGTGAGCCTGCCTTGATAGTCCTTGGCTCAAATCAAGTCCTGTGGTCATATCCCCTTAATTTACATTCTTTCCAAAGTGAAGAACAGTAATCCAGGCTTTACTGGCATTTTTCATTATTCCTCCTTTTTTCTTAAATGGGAATAGAAATTAAAGCCCTGGTTTCCACCTACAACAGACAACAAGCTTACATAGCATTTTAATCCAGATTCCTGTTCTCTTGTTTCTAATGCTGTAAAGCCTTGAAATAAAAAATCCCAGTTACCTGGCAGGATAAAAGGTGGGGAAGTTTGGGAAGGCAGGATAGATAATGCTGGTGAGCTCAGTGGTTTCTTACAGGTCTGGAGTGGATCCCAATTGCCTGTAAGTAGATTGAGATAGAAGCCAACAGAGCCACCCCGAGGCTTCGGGAATGGGGCAGCATAGAAGCCTCCTAAACAAACAAACAAACAAACAAACAAACAAACAAAAGCTACCTAGAGCTTTTTAAAACAGGATGTGGGTGGAAATTTATATTTCTTGTTTTTCCAGCACTGTCCGTGAAAGTCAAAACCTTGTGAGACTATTTTTTTTCTGGTTGGTAGGTAATCAACCAGAAAAAACAATTGTGTTGCTTGCCTTGGTAAGTTCTGTGAGGCATTTATCTCTAGCCTAAGAGAGAATTAGGGCATTCCTGAAAAAACAAAAGCCCAAGCCTGGCTGTCTTTGCAGTCTACAGAACTAACTTTCATAGGGGCTGTCTGTGAGACAACAAAAGTCATGCCTCATAGCATTTTATATGTAAAGCATGTTTTTAAATTAAGTGGAGGGAAAGAGTGACTTTCAGAAATTGGCATAGCAGAATAAAACATAATAGTTACTCCATTGCCTGCTTCTCACATTAAGTTTTGGCATATTAAATTACCATACACTGACTAGATTTACACATTGCAGCAGCAATTTCTGAACTGTTTCAGAACAGAAAATTGTGGGACATACAGAGCATGCAATTCACACATTCTCTGTTTCTGCTTTTAAGCAACAAGTTAGGAATTACCTACTCCCACATTGCTTCCAGATGTGAGAACACAGAATTCTGGGTTGTTTCTAGGTTCTCACATCTGAGTTAAGCTACAATTAACCCAACAATTTGCCTATGGTTTGTTGTTAAATTAACTTTATGTTTTTTTAACCCATGAACAGCCCAAAATTTGCAAGTTTTGTTAGTGATTTATTAAACAAGTGCTGGAGGGTGCATTCAGGCCACATCTGCACCCTTCAAAACAGACATAGCAGACAAAAACGAAAATCACCCTTATGGTGGCGTTACCATTTCTTTTTAAAGCATGCAAACTATGCTATTATGCAGAAAAACTAATACCAGTGTTACTGTTAGGGTATGAAATATCAACACATTTTGAAATTATGAGCAACATCTATTTCATTTCACACAGGCTTTTTCCCATCGACCAAACACCATTTTGATGCATGAAGTTCATAGACAGGATAGAACACCTAAGAATCAAATTGGTGCATACTTGTATTATAAGAATTAGGGAAAGAAAAGACCAACAGTGGTACAACTTATTTTTAGAGATTACTCAGAACAATGGAATTCTGGGAGTTTGATTTTCTTCTGTCTAAACATGCATAGGATTGTGCCCTTTATAATTTATAGTCATCTCCACCTCAAAGGACTTGAGGAGCGTAAAATGTTAAAAGCATAAAAATGTATACAGAACACACTTCACGACGGTAAAGAAACCCCTGCGGACTTGACCCTACGCCTCCAAATTCAACAGAGGAAACTCTCCAGAGCAATTTCTCCTTATGACCCTATCTGTTGAATTCCTGCCTGTCAGCGCAAAACCACTGCTGTAATGAAGTGGAAATACCGTTTTTTGTTGCTAAGCCATACCAAAGCAGATACTGTTCGGCGATTTTCCCTTCCACAAAAGGCAACCACTGGGAAGGGCGAACGAATTGTGGGAGTCTGTACAACATTTAAAAGAAAGGCTTCTCGCCACCTTTGAGGCCGCATTTCGCCCCCTTAGCAACAGTTACTAGGGGTTGCGTAGGGAGAGAAGAGGGCCGAAGACGTGAGAAACGGCGCATGCGCGCATGGAATGAAGCGCAGAGGCTGCAAAGTAAGCTTGGGTTGAGTAACGGCCTTTCGGGCGAGATTCTTTTCTGTCTCTGAAAGGCGGGGGTGCTGTAGGGGATATTGGGAAATTCCATGCATCTCTGTACAGGGGTGAAGACTGCAGCATTCTACAGGCTGGGTGAGTCCATTGTTTATGTAGGGGTCTGTGAGAGCATGGAGGGTTCAGTACTAAATTGGGCGTTACTATTTTGGTGGAGGGGTGTGGCTGCATTGGTTTTTATTTTCCCCGGGACAGTTCATTACAAGCTGGAATTTACTGGAGAAGCGATGCATTCTTTTCATCGAGGGCAGGCGGAAAAATACAGGCATTCCAGTTGTGTACATGATTTAAATGAGGGTTGATATCCCTAGGAGGAGGAGAAAAGCCTTTTTTTCTCTCTGCTTATTTGCATATGTAGATAAAGGACCAGCAAGAAGGAAGGCTTGGAATTAGCCGCTGACAAGATGGCCCCCTTTAATGCAATGTATGCATTATACAATAAAGAATCTTGCTCAGTGTGCTTCATTGCCTTCTTTTCCCAAATATTCCTGTGAGACCAATGGTTTATGTCTGACAGATGAGGAAACTGAGGCCAAACCAGTATACTTTACATAGTCTGTCCAATTTACTTTTTGGAGTTGCCAACTTTTCTTTACTACCAAGGATGCAATACATCTCAGTAGATGAGCAACTGGCTGAAATGCAACACTTCAGAGCATCAAATTGCAATTACTGGGGGCCTGGATCTAGAAATAAATGAATGGGTTTAGCGCTGATTTGATACAGATAGAAATAAGTCACACCAGAAATGAAATCATTTTCAGCTCTGGTTACCTGCTTGCTGCTGGTACATTTATGTTAGTTTTCCTTTGACCAAGCACTCTTCTTTACAAAGAGTCAGTCAGTAGCTACTTTGAACCTTGGTGGATTGTACAGACTAGTTGGAGACGCCTCAACTATTCCAAACCTATCAAGGACTAACCTGTCAACATCTGAGTTTTTGTTCTTTGCAGGTGCCATTTCCAGCATCTGCCAGGATGCCTACCCTGGAACCTAATCAATTGGCCATCAGAGAAATGAAAGAGGATGAAGCTCCAATTGTTTTGGACCTTCTGAAGGTGAGTCAGCCTTCAGCAGGAGCTGAATTGTCTTGGCAACGTAATCTCAGTTTCTCCATTTCTTTCTATAGGATGGATCATAGGAACATTCCTTTACAGCAATGGTTTCCAATATGAGCTGTCAGCTCCTTAATTAACCATTACAATGGAGCCTTTTAACTGGAGTTTTGACGTGCAGACATTAGCAGGCAATAATGTGTGTATATGTGTTGTAAAAAACTTTAGCTGCTATTAAAGGCATGAAAGCAGGAAAGGTCTTTTAAAAATCTATATCTGGAATTCAGAACTCTTCCTGGAAGTATATCTGGAATTCAGATTGGTAATGAGCTTTCCTAAAAGATAGTGAGCTTTTGACCATACATCTTCCTCAGAAATGCAGGAAGATGTATAGTTCCAACTGTAGAGGAACTTTGTAGATTCTGGGAAAGAGTCGTAGTTCAAGCTCTTAGGTCCATGCAAGTTGTACGCAGTCTTTTAGAATAGCTTTCTCCAGATGTTCTGGACTTCAGTCCCCATGTTCCCTCACCTTCCGCCCTGGTAGCTGGGGCTGATTGGAGTCCCAACCTCAGTTATTGGAAGGGTACTCTTTTGGTGAGAACTACTCTTGAAAATCCCTCCATGATGATTTTCAGGGAAAGGAGGGACACGAGACAAGGCATCAGCTCTCGGAAGGTCCCTCCTGGCTGTGCGACCCTCGCTTCACCTGCCTTACTCTTTCTCTCCCACCAGGATGGCTTCAAGGACACAGAAAATCGCCTGATATTGTATGTGCTGACCCGTCCGCTGGCATTGCTGCTGATGGCGGTGGTGAGCAGTGGCCTACGATTCTTCTTGAACTCTTTTGTGGTGGCGCTCGTGCTGCCGGTGCTGCTCACCGTGGTGGCTCTGAAGCTTCTGCTGCGGCGCTCCCCAGACCTGAAGCACCTGCATGCTTATTACAGCGTAGGCCAGCGCAGGCTGTGGGTGGCTGTGTATGATGAGGACGATGTTTGTGGGTGCGTGGCTTTGGAGCCCCGTGCTGGGGAGCCACGCACAGCCGAGCTCAAGCGCTTGGCGGTCAGCCGTTGGTACCGGCGCTCTGGCGTGGGCCGCAGCCTCCTCAGCTTCTCAGAGGAGCAGGCTCGGGCACAGGGCTTCCAATTCTTAGTGGCCCAGGTCTCGGTGGTGACCAAGGCAGCCATTCAGCTCTTTGAGAGTGCTGGCTACAGCCCGAACGGCGGGCAGCAGTGGCTGGGCTACACCATTCAGCAAGAGTTCAGCAAGGAGCTTTAACAACTGTGCCTGCTGGTTCGCCACCAGGTTGCCAGCCAGTGAGTCTGGCAGGGGCAGCATGTGGCCTCTGAGTAAGGGGGGAAGTGCAATGCTCTAAAAGCATCATACTTAGCATTGTGGCGAGGAAATCCCCTGCAGGCGCCAAACCGTCCAGGTCAACAAGATGGCTTTCTCTGCCTGGAAGATGAAGATTCTGCAACCAGGAATAAGTAAAGGCTTGTCTATTAGAGTCTACTCCCCTGGATGGCATCAGACTGAATGCCATTTAGGGATTTCAGTCCCAGTTTATGCACCTGCCGTTTGGGGCACGGGAAGAACCAGCACCCCTGACTCAGGCCAGACAAAGCCTGGGTGTAATCTGCTCTGAATGCATCCAGATTTTACACCAAAGGTAACCTCACATGCTTTGAGCTGAGCCAGTTATGCAAATCAAGCCCATTTTGACTGATTATTATTTATTGATACAGCACATCTGTGCAAGGCACTTTACAGAGTACGGGAGGACAGGCCTCTGCCCTGAGAAGCTAACCACAGTTGGGGTGTGGGGGGAAACAGCTATTCAGAAGACTGAACCCTGCTCTCCTGCAAGGTGCCCTGAATCCATGCACCCAGGTGTTACCTTGAGGTTAAACAGAAAGGTAACTCAAGATTTTCAGGATGCAGAACTGCCGCCCTGCCTGATTTTCTTATTGCTTTAAACAGTACCAGAAGCAAGCTTATGTGCTGCCTACTTTACCCTGTAGACTTTTGGTGCCACATGTTCGGGTTGTATCATGCAACTTTTTCAGGCATAAACTGCACTCCCATTCATGTGCTGGTGATTTTGTAGGAGAATTTTCTGTGTCTGTGTGTGTGCTCAAATGGGCTTGGTGAAGGGCATCAGCACTTAAGCACCCTGGTTTCAGCTCATGGCAGTAAAATCCTGTAAAGGTTTCTTCAGAAGTCCTGCAGTGAGACTGACTCCATGATAAATGCATGTATATAGGCTGGGCAGCTAAATTAAGATAGAGTCTTCCTGGAAGTATGCCCCATTGACTGCAATAGAACTTATTTCTGAGCAGACACATACTGGTTTGTGCTCCCAGTCTGCTTTTTTTGTAATTATTTGCAGCATTTGTATACTGCTTTGTATCTAGGCAGATTATGGCATGTAAAGCAGATAAAATAATAACAATGTGTTAAAAACAGGGTAACTTTGAAAACTGGGTAGTCAGCAAGGAAAGCTTCCTGGAACACATATGTCTTAAGCAGATGTGGAAAACAAGAGTGGTGCAACCAGCCAGACTTCAAGGGGGAAGGAGTTTCATAGAAGTGGAGCTGTCATGCTGAACTCTCTTCTCCCACGTGGAGGCACCAGGAGAAGGTCCTCTGATGACCATATATATTTGGCCTGCTGGAAAAAGAGAAGGTCCTAAGTGCCCTGGTCCTAAGATGTTCTGGGCTTTGTATACTAGAATGAGAACATTAAATCAGGCCTGGTAGCAAATAAGCAGCTGGCACATTTCCTTCAGCAAAGGAGTTGCATTCAGAATTCTTCAAGCCTCACTAAAAAAACATGCTGCTGCTATTTGTGGCATGTGCAGATACTATGAGAGTGGCCTAGCCAGGTGAAAGTGAGTATAGGTTGTACCATTGCTTTACAAACTGATTTGAAGCAGAAACGAATAGAAGTTTCACACATGAAAATGCTCGCTCTTTCAGCTGTTTTGAAGGTCTCTTGCCCCTTCAGGTTCTATTCAGTCATATTGAGAATTCATACAAAGGAGGGTACAGGAGTCTTATATTCAGGACTTGTTCCTATTCCTGGGTGCCTGTTCCCTCTTCAACATCCTATGTTAAGGCTGCAGTTTTATTCATGTTTAGGCAGAAATAAGGCCTACAACTCCCAGAATGCTAGCCAACCTAGTCTTTTTCTTTCTAAATATGTGATGGCACCTTAAGGCAACCCAAGTGTTGTCCGCAGAAATTGTGTGCAAGTGCATGCAGGTGCACTTATTTCACATAAACTAGTCCATAGGGCAGAGTTCATATATTTATTAAGAAGAGAAGCAGGGATATGCTGAGAGACCTGCTTTCTTTCAGAAATCTTCATTTATTGAGTTATTGGCTACAAAGCTCAAGATACTTTGACTTGGGCCACTCAGCCTACCTCACAGGGTAGTTGTTACAAGGATAAGACTGAGAAGAGGAGGATTGTGTAAGCCACCTTAAGTTCCATGCAGAAAAAAGGCAGGATATAAATAAAATTAATTCTATATATAGCTGTATTCTATCCCAGTGTCCTTTGAAAGAGGAATATCTGTAATTCCATGGAGAAAGAGACAGTTGTGGGATACAGTCACAGTGGAAAAATGGCTGCCAAGGAACTGATCTCCCAGATCTGTTTTGTTAGGTTTGCTACATTTGGTTCTATTCACAAGGTAGGAAATAGCAAAGCCTGCTTTGTCCTTGTCACATGTTTAGGTAGACTTAGGACAAGCTATCTAGGGCCATCTCTTTTTTAGGCAACTCCTCCCATTGTGATGGTAGCATCAATGCTGGCAGGGATTCTGCCCAGAGCCCGACATCACAATCTACCAGGGAGGTGCCTTCATAGCCTGGCCTCTTGCCTGCCTCTCAAGGGAATCACTTTTCTCCTTCCTGTCCTCCAACGTAGGCCGAGCGGGGCTTGCAGTATCAGCATCCAAGTCTCCAAGAGGTCACAGACTGGGAACATGGAGTATTTATTTTCTATCTTTCCTTGGCCTGCAAGGAGATCAAACCAGTCAGTCTTAGAGGAGATCAACCCTGACTGCTCTTTAGAAGGCCAAATACTGAAGATGAAACTCAAATATTTTGGCCACCTAATGAGAAGGAAGGACTCACTGGAGAAGAGCCTAATGCTGGGAACAATTGAAGGCAAAAAAAGAAGGGGACGGCAGTGGATGAGGTGGCTAGATGGAGTCACTGAAGCAGTCAGTGTGAGCTTGAGTGGACTCCGGGGGATGGTGGAGGATAGGAAGGCCTGGAAGAATGTTGTCCATGGGATCACAATAGTTTGGACATGACTTCGTGACTAACAACCACAATAACAATAATCGATAGTTTAAAAATGACAAACAGAAATGAGGAGGTGCTATAAACAGGACAAAAAGAGGGAGACATGTCACGTATTTTGGAAATAAAATGTATCCAGAATGGGGCATTAGAAGATACAAACAATTGTAATACAACTTCTTGCTACAAATCTTTTAAATATGGAATTCCTTGCTTTCTTCCCTCTCTATAGATGCAGCTGGTGAACTTGCTATGACTGTGAGTGGGAGGGAGTGCCTTTATACTGAATGGTCACAATAGCCTTTAATATATACCCCTGTATTATTTATGGAATATCTGTCAATAGGGACTTGGTTAGCTAGCATTAAGGGTGGAGAACATATTTTTGCCTTCACTGCAAAAGGTTTCCATGGCCATTTTGTTCCACATAGAAATTAATGGTGGCCATTTATTCATAGATAGATATGAAGCTGCATTTGGGGATGTTGCTGGGAAGCCATCTCAGCCTTCTCCTGGTGAGTCCAGAGCTCTGGGCGAGGGTAAAGTTTAGCATACCATAAGTGAGACCAGATGTTTATGTGTGAGGTGCTTCCTGGCATTCTGTTACCACCCCTTAACCAGCACTCCATGTTCCCTAGCTGCTAAATTTTCACTATGGGATAGTACCCCCACCTTCCCCATAAAAATTTCTTTGTACTGCAGCAAACCTTGAAGTTCTGGAAATTGCTTCACATACATAGCGAGCACAGCCAAAAGGGAGGTTTCTATTGACTTTAAAAAAAAAACTAAACTAAACAATCTAAAATAATTTCCAGCTTTGCTAATGCAAAAAGCTCTAACAGTTTTCTAACAGCATGGTGCTCCCAGATTTTTGAGAACAGTTCCCATCATTTGCTTGCTTTTGCTGGATGGGGCTGATAGGAGCTGGAGTCCAAAATAAGTGAGAAATACCATGTTGTGAAAGGCAGCTGTATATATATTTCTTCTAGTTTTCCCGTCCCAAGAATCTTGCATGTTTCACCTATGGTGAAGACAGCTGCATTTTATATTTTCAAAAATTTGGGAGAAGGTAGAGGATCGACCATTGCTTGCTTGCTTGCTTATCCCACCTGAAACCCAAACAGCACCTGAAAGAGCCTTTTTTTAAATGCACATCCCATATGCAGGCTTCATGATGCCAGCTCATCAGAGGGCTACAAGTCAAAAGAGATTGTGCATCTATTCTGCTTTCACCTCCATGGAGTCTAGTAAAAAGATGAAGGAAATGGTGAGAAAACAGAGGAGGCTTACAAATGGAAGATAATGCCTGGGCCTTCTGTAAAACCTAGCTTTGAGACAAGGGTCTTGTAGGATAAAAGTGTTCTCTGGAAGCACCCTTGGGTATCAATTTCTCCATTTCTCCTTTGCACCCCTTGCTTTTTGTAGTATCCTGACTAATGAAGAAATCTGGAGCGCTTCAAAGCTTCATTGTTTCCTGAACGTGTGAGTTGGGCCTATTATGGTATTGCCTGATAAGGATTTTGGAATTTTTCTTACAGCAAAACATGGCTCCCTTTGGGTTTTGCGTGTTCTTTCTATGTATCATTTATTACTGCCAATATGTCACTTAACTGTTACTTTGCAGTGACTCATTGCAGTGCTGACATGATTTGCCTTATATATGAATAAAGGTCTGGTTTGCTGATACAGAACAGTGATTTGTCAATTTAAAGTTGTTTGTTTACATAGCAAAATCTAAGAGCTGCCAAAGTTTCTTTTCTTAAAAGAGAAATGAGCTGGCCCAGGGCAGGGCAGGGAATTGAGGCTAAACTAGATGAAAAGTGGATTTCAGGTCCAAGATCTCTTGTGCTTAAAATTGCAAACACGTTGCAGTGCATTTTATATGCCGCCCTTTTCTCTCTTGTAAGGAGCCCAAGACAGCTCATATAGTTCTACACTCCATTTTTATCACAACAACCCTGTGAGGTTGGTTAAGATGCAAGTCTATAACTTGTCCAGAGTCACCCAGTGAGCTGTTTGACTGAGTGGAGAGTAGAACCCTGATCTCCCAGGTCCCAGTCCAACACTCACCACCACATGATTTAATTTGAAAACACGGCCACATTGCTGGAGCCGTTCCATTTTTTTCCATTTGAACTGTCCCACTTCAACCTACCCTAGCCCAGCCTGAAGCTAGTGTTAGTTCCATGGGGGGAACCTACCAGTGTATAGGTGCCTACATGTTTTGCCCCACAACAACAATTAACTCTGGAATATGGACAAGATACAGTGGAAAGTGTTACCTATTCAAGTGTCATCCTGATTCAAAGCTCCCCTGCCTCTGTGGTTGGTGGTATGTGTGTGTTTTAAATTAGCAACACAGGAAATTCTTTTTGTAGCTCTCCCATGTGATGTCTAGTTTTGCCCTCTGGCCCATAATGGAAACAGCAGCTGCCTGGGAATTGGTTTCTGGGGCTAAGGATTGCAGCTGCAAATGAACTCTCCAGGAAAAGCTTTGATATCCCATTCTGAAGAAAGGATTGTGTGGATTGGAATTGGGGTGGGGGGAGAGTCCAAATAAGGATCGTGATTGGCAAAGATTTCAAGACAATGGAAAACAGTAATTTTTTATAAAAGACAGTTATAATCACACATTTCAATTCTATGGAGTTAGCTTAATGATTTAGAAAGCAAGAAGGGAGGCACAAAACAGAAGAGAATATATTCTCAGGCGTCTTAAAAAAATCTTATTAAAGATTTGCATCAGTCTTCCCTAAGGTGGTTGCCTTAGGACTACAACCCCAGCTGGCCACAGCCAGCATGAGCAATTGTCTGAGATGGGAGTTGTAGTCTCATGCATAACTTGAGGACACCCCATTGGGGAAGGATGATTTGGACAGCTGAAAGCCACATTATCCATCTGCTGGCTCATCTGTGATGCAACTTGAAACATCTGAAAAGTCAGGAAGGGCAGCCCCCGCATAGGGCACAATTCAGTACTCTGCCCTTGCAGCCTTTGAAAAATGAAATGCTGGACCTCTTCTTGATCAGGTAGGCACACTGCTCACCTGACAGGTATTTCCATCCTTTCAATGGTAAAATATGGGCTTTGAATACTCAGTAGTTCAGAGGAAGACACTTTGCACATTCCCAGAAGCATGAATTACGTCATGTGTTCTATAATAGAAGCCTGATCTTTAAAAAGTAGGCTCCAGGGACCAGGTCTATTGCTAAAAATGCATCTCTCTGTATGCAAACAAATAATCTGACAAAAGATCATAGCAACCATGTTTTTGTCTGTATTTTTCTAGTCATGGCTTCAGCTATCCCCTTCAAGTAGCCAGCCACTGCTCTGAATTAGCCTGGAATGTTTCGCTGTATAGTGCTGAATTGCTATAGTTACCAGTTCCTGTGCCAAAACTGATGGAATGAGCCCAGCAATGGAAAGCCATGTGGTGCAGGTGTCTGCTCAAGGAACGTGGCCCATAAATGAGGAACCATTGGCATTTGGGATTCTCTAGCCCTTACTCCAGTGAGCACCGGCTTCATGTTCCTGGTGGTTGCTCCTATAAGGGTGTTTCCTCTCTGCTCCATTCTCCCTGGGCCTTGCTGTTTCTGTCCTGCCTTTTCCAAACACAAGAACTGGCCAGCTGCTCTTCTGAGCTCAGGCAGTCCCTGGCTGGGATAGAGGGTGTGACTCATATTTCCTGTGATGCTGTCCCTACGGATGCTTTTGGCTCCTGCCTTGCTGCTGCCATGCTACCAGTGACCATCAGCCTTCCTTTCATCCCCACGTGGGTGTGCAGAGAAGAAAATTCAGGAGATCCCAAAGCACAGATCTGCACCATTCACCTACCACACCATCTGGATTATTTCCATGCGCTCTCCCACTGGCATCCCACCCTTCCTCCAAGGAACTTGGCGCTGAGACAGCTGATGTGGTGTCTACTCATTTTCTGCTGTGTTGAAAGAACAAGGCAACTGTGGTTAATTGTGCAGATAAGATTGCATTTTACAGATGGCAAATAGGCAGAGGGACTTGCCCAAAAATGATTCTAATCGCCATAAAAGGAAGCTGCATATTGCACAGGAGATTGGTGAGTGAGCTCCCTCCTTCCCTTAATGAATCTGCCAAGTTGTTTGAAAAAGCAGTGAATCAGGAAGGTCTGTTTCAACCCTTTATCCCAGTTACGTTTTCTCAATGAAAATGGTACCACCTCTCCTGCTCTTTGCCCCAAGAAGTTGATCCCAAGCTATCGGGATAAGAAGCTGATTACAAACTAGCACAGATCAAACACCCAACAGTGTAGCCTACCTAACACTACCTTAAGGGGCTTCTTATGTATTTATTGGATTGATAATAATCTGGGGTGCAAAGCACTTGCCTTTTTACCCAGAAAATGGAACCCAAGGCAGCCAAAAATAATAAACCTGGGGTGCAAAGCAGGGGACATAGAAAGATGGGTTAAAAGACGGAAGGAAGTTGGAGGGAGAGATGGGAGATGATGCACAGTTCTGGGATTGTGCCTGCTTTCTGTCCATCACAGAGAGAGGGAGGGGAGAGGGAGAGGGAGACTAGAAACTGCCTTGGAAAGAGCAATTTTAAAAGTGAGCACAGTTCAGAAGAATGATCACACTGACATAAAGAACTGACATTCTTTTGGGAGAGGTGGCAAACCAGCATATACTTCCTCCACCAATGTGGTTTCTTTGAAAATCCTTACAGAAGTGTCCTAATCGTGGCTTTTTCAGTCTGGGCCTGTTGGTGGGAACGCCTCCTATCAGCCTCCCCTAGTCTGGCTCTCTCAGCTTCCCAGGCTGGAGATTGGAGGTTTCACGACCCAGAGCAAGCAGGGGTGTTTCCCACTTTCTTTTCTGCCTGGCTGACTCATTGCCTGCCTGGTCCTCTCTGCCTTCAATAAAAGTGCCTCTGCTTTGCAGAGCTCCCTTTGGAGCTGGACGCTGCCCCCTGCCAAGAACATCATGCAGCTCTGCTTATTCCTTTTGGGTGAGTGTCGCGCTCTCTGCATGGCAATATATATCCTTGCCTGGATGCAGTCATGACTGGCTAGTGGGCAACAGGCCCCACCTGAGGGCAGGATGGGGTGCCCACTAGTTTTGGGGGGTGGGCACGCACATAGTTGTGGGGACCAGTATGCCAGGGTCTGATCCAAGTTATTGGGCAGGGAACAGATGTCTTGCTGGAAGGATGCCTACTCATGTGTCAAGGAAACACAAGCCTTCAAAATCTTATGTAGAGGGATAGGGACACACTGGAGTATATGCAATACCTCTATTTGCACATCATTGCCTGCGCTCATCCTTCTCCTTCCCCATCTAGTATTGCTGAAGGCTTTTCTCAGTCTGCCACATCTTGCATTCATTTGCTCTGCAACAGGCTGTCCTGCATTAGCTTCTACAGCAAATGAATATTACTGACTGTAACAGTTTACATTAAAAAGAAAAAAAATACCTGAGGAATGTCAACTCCCATAGCAGATCTGGTTGTACATATTATTGGGAAAGCTGCAACTCAAACAGCCTGGGAAGCACATTATGGGGAAAAGGGGATGGAAGAGAAACTGTGCTGGCATTTTGTGACTGTCTGTCTTCATATACTGTCTGCATATTCAGTAGGCTAGAACCAAGATATTCAACTCTGTCCTGAAGTATGACTTTAAAAAACAAAGATAGTAAAATATTCTGAAGATCTCTTCTACACATGAGCACATGTTAACAAAGGCACACCCAGCGTCTCCTGAAAAAGACATATCAGGTACAGTGATATATTGCAAAAAAGAACAGTTATCCCTGGTGAGGAGAGGCAGTTAGGGCATTTGGGTACAATAGAGATGAATGAACTGTTTTTGCTTATTTGGTGTAGCATCATCTGTCCTGTTCATTTAGGGTGGAACAGCAGGGTTTTTGTAGATATGGGTCACCTAGTGGAAGACATGTGGCCCTCCGTGTGGCCCCACATTTTCTGGACCATCAGGGAAGAGCTATTAACTGTTGGGCATCCTCTTCACCTGCTGTCACTGCTTCAGTTCTGACTCAGCCTACAGCTTTGCAGGATCAGTTGCTAGTGGCAACAGCTCACATACTGTGCATTGCTGGCGATTCACGCAAGGGCACAACTTCTGAGTGTGTGTCAGATTTAAAGTTTAAAGAGATAATATTACAGAAGAAAAACCATTGCTGAATAGTCCAGGTGCATCTCATTCAGGTTTCTGTTTCAAGCCAGATGTTTCTCATAAGTTCACAAGAAGATACTTTCGTTGTTTATCCTCAAATGTTGTGCTTAGGCTCAAGAATTCTGAGGCTCCGAATTCCATTCAGGTATCTTGTTTAATGCTTGATATTGGTAGGCCTATACTCCAGGAATTTGATCATACAATCTTATATAAGTCTACTAAGAAGTTATATTCACTGACTCAGTGATGCCACTTCCAGATAAATAGGTTACAGCTTAAACCTTAACATATCCTACTGAAACAAGTAGTCATCTCCATCCCATCTCATCTTATGGCAGTGTAGTGTAAAGTCAGTAGATAGCTTTTGTCAATCTCTAATACTTCAGTGGAGAATAACTTTTTCCTTGGGGGTGGGGGTGTTATTCTTTCACATTGTACAACTGAAAACATGTTAAAAACCTTTGCTAATATGTGCCAATGAAGAGCACACCAGAGCTCAAAACACATCAACATTTGATTGAACAAGTTTTGATAGCTACTATTTTAAATATTACTGTTGCTTGTGATTAAGGGCTTCTCTTATATGCATTGCTGGAAGAAGTCACCATCCTTCACGCTTATTTCCACCAGTGGGTTTTCCTTCCTGTATGTTTGATCAAACAACCAGAAGGTGGCACTGTGGTACAGTACAATCGAGAAAAGGGCATTTAATCAGTTTGACGCCTGAAGAGCAAATTGAGTGTAATACCATACCTACCCCGTTTTAACGCCACTGCCTCCCACCACCGCCTCCCACCACCTCAAAAAACCTGGAAAAATCAAGGGAAGCCCTGGAGGATGAGGAGGTCATGAAAAGGACTTGCAAGTTTTTATGAATGTGGGCTCATGACCCCACACTTTATGCCTTTTGTGAAGAAGTCATAAAAATGCAAACCAGAACAAAGTGGAGCAAAAGTCTTGTGTGGAATTGCAGTTCCACTATGCTGCATCTATGCCACAAGCACCACCTCATGCATGGTGTATAAAATATAATGAAATGTGAAGAAATAAAAAGGAGGGAGTTTCATTTTTCTTTCCACAATGAAAGCAGAAGCTGCCTTAGCAAAGCAGTGCTCTAAATTCATGTAGAGAAGCCCAAGAAGGAGCCTGGGCATCTCCCAGTTTGCTAGGTGGCAGCAGTCTGCCTCCCTCTCCAGTGGAGCAAAAAGACCATGTGCAAGTTGCAGCTGTGAAGGTACCAAAAAATGAAAGTGACAGTGAAGAAGGGCAGAAGCCTTTGCTAGCACTGGGCAAGAAACATCTGCAACGGCAATTTTAAGGCTGGGAAGGATGAGCAGCGATCTAGTCCTGGTATACCCAGGATCACATGCTTGGACTGGGTGTATAAATTCACTTGAAGTAATTTCCACCCTTAGCCTGGGTTGCCACAAACATCTCCATGTTTTCCCTGGAATAGTGTATGCTGATGTGGATTGTATCTGATTTGATTTGGCCTAAAAAGTAGGGTGTGGGGAAAATAAATGATAGTGCTTAAGGTTAGAAAAATCAATTAGGGAAGTGAAGATAATTACAGGATGGTGAGGAGGAGAAGGAAGGTATAGATGATGAGCTAGTTACATGCAACACAAAGCCACTGTGGGTGAAGGCCTGTGTCATTGTGGCTGCCATTTTGAATATTTGAACCGTGGCAGGACATGCTGCAGCCTGTTGACATGGGTAAAACCAACAAGGGAGGTTCCTGAGGTGATTAACAAGCCACCCAGGAATCCAGCTGGTTTTAGGGTTGCAGGTGTCTTGTTAACCACCACAATGACCTATCCTTGTTGGGCTTACCCATGATGATAAGCTACAATGTGCCTCTGCATGCCATGGCTTGAATATTCAAAATGGAGTTTGTGCCCACAGTGAGAAGCCCTGCAGGGAAATTCAGCTAAAGTGGTTTCTTGTTACAGCTGTATAAATTATCTCAGGATTTACTGTAAGTATGAAGCTTGTAGAAGCTATTGCTTAAAATAGTGACACTTCTTTATGGTTTAACCCTTCAAATATTGTTTGCAAGTTCTTTGACAACCAGTGACTCTTTCTGAACCAATCACTACCAAGCTTGACAACAGGTTGTGATCTTCAGAATACATCCAAGAATCTTCAGCTTGCCTTTGCTCATCTGTAATCTCTTGCTTTTTTTTCTGCAGTTGTCTTCTTGAAACTTCATGCCACAGGTAAAATGAAAGGGGATTTCTTTTTGTCTCTTTTTCCCTGCCCTATAATGAACTTCACACTGAGGAAGTTATCAGAATCATATATACTAGGGACAAACTTCCTCACCCGTGACTCCTTATACAGCAAAAGTTATACCATCCACACACAGGAAGGAGGTATCAGCAGACTTGAGGGAAACCAACATTTGTAGAGGTATCCCAAAATAGAGGGGGAATCCCAAGATAGCTGGATAAGGTCTGAGCATGTTCAACAGCCACAGAATGTCTACTGGGGGGAACAGAACGAAGAAAAGCTGGAGGGGAGGGCATAACCAGCTCTCTCAAACTCTGCTGCAACTTTTTGCTCCAGAATGGAACTGCCCATTTCCTTGCATGATGCTCTCATCCAGGTGCAATGGAGTGCAAACTTTGTATTTGTTAGCATGCAGCATGTATTTAGCAAGCTTGTTTGCAAAGATAATAGGTTTAATCTAACTAGATCTGGCCTTAGGGCAATTTTTAAAAAGAGGCAATAAGCTGGTTCATGAAATTTTAGGAAGGTGAAAACTGACTGAAGATCAGTCAGTAGGAAGATCAAAACAATGGATGGAAGAGCAGGAGAATGGATATCAGCTGGGGCGATCTGCATTTGATACCTCCCGGCTGTGCAAAGTAGGAGAAAATAGGCAGATGACCTTGACAATCCTTCCTTCTGGCAGGTCCTTTCCCAGTCCGTCTATCTGCAGGCCCAAACCTTTGTGCAGGACGGGTGGAAGTCTTCCACCAGGATGAATGGGGGACAGTGTGTGACGACGACTGGGACATGCGGGATGTGGCGGTGGTGTGCCGAGAGTTAAACTGCGGGGAGGCCCTCTCAGCACCCCACGGGGCCTGGTTTGGTGAAGGAGCTGGCCCCATCTGGCTGAACGAGGTGCGCTGCGCAGGAACTGAATGGCAGCTGCACTCCTGCCGCCACCTGGGCTTTCGCAAGCATGTCTGTACCCACGAGGAGGATGCCAGCGCCATCTGCTCAGGTGAGGACCTTATAACTCAGCAATTCATGCTTTGCTGGCTTCATAAACAAAAGCACACCAGCAAACACCTTGGCCACATGGCTGTGGTTTCATTAGTCATTCTCAAAGCTCTCACCTAGAGTGTTTGAGCATATTATTATTATTATTATTATTATTATTATTATTATTATTATTATTAT